GTGTTTTTGAAGTAGTTTGAAAGAATATCGGGGACCCCTTATATTTGAAGTATTTAATTTGAAAGACTCTTGAGGACCCCTTGTCGTGTCTGGTTTTTGAAGTAATTTGAAAGAATCATAGGAATAACGTTTGTTTTTGTAATAGTTTGAAACAATTTAGTGGACACCTTGAATTCTTTTGTTGTATATTTAAAGTAATTTGAAATAATCTCGGAGACCTCTTATGTTTTTATAAAGAATGTAGTTTGAAAGAATCTCGTGAATCCACTCTTGGTCTCTTGTCCTCTTTCGAATTCTCTAGAATCTCGTATTTCCTCGGATTCTATCGGATTTTTTGCGTATTATTTCAGATTCTGTTGAATTCCTTCACATTATCTTTTCGGATTCTCTTTGATTCACTCGAATTTTTCCAGGTTTTGTTAGATTTTCACGAATTCTTTCGGATTCATTCGCATTCATACGGATTGTTTCAAATTCTATTGAATTCTCTTGCGTTCTCCCGAATTTTCTCGGAATCTTTCGGACTCATCCTGATTCTTTTATGTTCTCTTGGATTCCCTCGGATTCTTTAAGATTCTTTGGCACTGTCTCTTATCCTCTCGGGATTTAGCCGGATTGTCTTATATTCACTGATATAACTCTTGGATTCTTTCGTATTCTTCCAAATTCCTTTGAATTCTCTTGTATATTCGCAGATTCTTAAGGATTCTTCTGAATTCTATCCGATACTCTCGAGATTTGTCGAATTCTCTTAAATTTTTTTCGGTTTCTCTTCGTATTCTTTCGAAATCTCTCGGAACTCGGATTTTTTTCTAATTGTTTGATTCACACGAATTCTTTCGGATTCTTTCCGATCCTTTCTAAATTTGGACGGTTTCTCTCATGTCCTCTCGGATTCATTAGTATTCTCGCATCACAATTTTTTTCGGATTCTCTCGTTTTCATTCGGATTCTTTGCGTATTATTTAAGTCTCAAATTATATCCAATTGTTTTCAGATTCTCACTGGGATATTTCTAGTGAGAATCTGGGATGTCGGATTTTGTCATATTCTCTCTAAGCTTCTAATTTTGTTAGAAGTACGCAATTTGAAGGAATTTCGCAAATCCCTTGAGTTTTTGTGAAGCAGGTAGTTTGAAAGAATATCGGGGACCCCTTATGTTTTATATTTGAAGTATTTAATTTGAAAGAATCTCGAGGACCCCTTGCGTCTGGTTTTTGAAATAGTTTGAAAGAATTTAGGGGACCCCCTTGAATTCTTTTGTCCTGTATTTAAAGTAATTTGAAATAATCTCGGAGACCTCTTATGTTTTTTTTTTTTTGAAGAATGTAGTTAGAATCTCGTGAATCCACTGTTGGTCTCTTGTCCTCTTTCGAATTCTCTAGAATCTCGTATTTCCTCGGATTCTATCGGATTTTTTGCGTATTATTTCAGATTCTGTTGAATTCTTTCACATTATCTTTTCGGATTCTCTTTGATTCACTCGAATTTTTCCGGGTTTTGTTAGATTTTCACGAATTCTTTCGGATTCATTCGCATTCATACGGATTGTTTCAAATTCTATTGTTCTCTTGCGTTCTCCCGAATTTTCTCGGAATCTTTCGAACTCATCCTGATTCTTTTATGTTCTCTTGGATTCCCTCGGATTCTTTAAGATTCGTTGGCACTGTCTCTTATCCTCTCGGGATTTAGCCGGATTGTCTTATATTCACTGATATAACTCTTGGATTCTTTCGTATTCTTCCAAATTCCTTTGAATTTCCTTGTATATCCGCAGATTCTTAAGGATTCTTCTGAATTCTATCCGATACTCTCTAAATTTGTCGAATTCTCTTAAATTTTTTTTCGGTTTCTCTTCGTATTCTTTCGAAATCTCTCGGAACTCGGATTTTTTCAGATTACTTTCTAATTGTTTGATTCACACGAATTCTTTCGGATTCTCTCCGATCCTTTCTAAATTTGGACGGTTTCTTTCATATCCTCCGGATTCTTTAGTATTCTCGCATCACAAATTTCTTCGGATTCTCTCGTTTTCATTCGGATTCTTTGCGTATTATTTAAGTCTCAAATTATCTCCAATTGTTTTCAGATTCTCACTGGGATATTTCTAGTGAGAATCTGGGATGTCGGATGTTGTCATATTCTCTAAGCTTCTAAGTTTGTTAGAAGTACGCAATTTGAAGGAATTTCGCAAATCCCTTGAATTTTTGTGAAGCGGGTAGTTTGAAAGAATATCGGGAACTTCTTTTGTTGTGTTTTTGAAGTAGTTTGAAAGAATATCGGCGACCCCTTATGTCTTATATTTGATGTATTTAATTTGAAAGACTCTTGAGGACCCCTTGTCGTGTCTGGTTTTTGAAGTAATTTGAAAGAATCATGGGAATAACGTTTGTTTTTGTAATAGTTTGAAACAATTTAGTGGACACCTTGAATTCTTTTGTTGTATATTTAAAGTAATTTGAAATAATCTCGAAGACCTCTTATGTTTTTTTTTGAAGAATGTAGTTCGAAAGAATCTCGTGAATCCACTGTTGGTCTCTTGTACTCTTTCGAATTCTCTAGAATCTCGTATTTCCTCGGATTCTATCGGATTCTTTGCGTATTATTTCAGATTCTGTTGAATTCTTTCACATTATCTTTTCGGATTCTCTTTGATTCATTCGAATTTTTCCAGGTTTTGTTGGATTTTCACGAATTGTTTCGGATTCATTCGCATTCATACGGATTGTTTCAAATTCTATTGAATTCTTTTGCGTTCTCCCGGATTTTCTCGGATTCTTTCAGACTCATCCGGATTCTTTTATGTTCTCTTGGATTCTCTCGGATTCTTTAAGATTCTTTGGGACTGTCTCTTATCCTCCCGGGATTTAGCCGGATTGTCTTACTGATATAACTCTCGGATTCTTTCGTATTCTTCCAAATTCCTTTGAATTCTCTTGTATATTCGCAGATTCTTAAGGATTCTTCTGAATTCTATCCGATACTCTCGAAATTTGTCGAATTCTCTTAATTTTTTTTTTCGATTTCTCTTCGTATTCTTTCGAAATCTCTCGGAACTCGGATTTTTTCAGATTATTTTCTAATTGTTTGATTCACACGAATTCTTTCGGATTCTCTCCGATCCTTTCTAAATTTGGACGGTTTCTCTCATATCCTCCGGATTCTTTAGTTTTCTCGCATCACAAATTTCTTCGGATTCTCTCGTTTTCATTCGGATTCTTTGCGTGTTATTTAAGTCTCAAATTATCTCCAGTTGTTTTCAGATTCTCACTAGGATATTTCTAGTGAGAATCTGGGATGTCGGATTTTGTCATATTCTCTAAGCTTCTAAGTTTGTTAGAAGTACGCAATTTGAAGGAATTTCGCAAATCCCTTGAATTTTTGTGAAGCAGGTAGTTTGAAAGAATATCGGGAACTTCTTTTGTTTGTTTTTGAAGTAGTTTGAAAGAATCATGGGAATACTGTTAGTTTTTTAATTGTTTGAAACAATTTAGGGGACCCCTTGAATTCTTTTGTTGTATATTTAAAGTAATTTGAAATAATCTCGGAGACTATACTTATGTTTTTTTTTGAAGAATGTAGTTTGAAAGAATCTCGTGAATCCACTGTTGGTCTCTTGTACCTATTCTTTCGAATTTTCTAGAATATCGTATTTCCTCGTATTCTTTCGGATTCTTTGCGTATTATTTCAAATTCTGTTGAATTCGTTCGCATTATCCTTTCGGATTCTCTTTGATTCACTCGAATTTTTCCGGGTTTTGTTAGATTTTCACGAATTCTTTCGGATTCATTCGCATTCATACGGATTGTTTCAAATTATATTGAATTCTCTTGCATTCTCCCGGATTTTCCCACATTCTTTCGGACTCATCCGGATTCTTTTATATTCTCTTGGATTCTCTCGGATTCTTTGGATTCTCTTATCCTCTCGGGATTTAGCCGGATTCTCTTATATTCACTGAGATAATTTTCGAATTCTCTCGGATTCTTTCGTGTTCTTCCAAATTCCTTTGAATTCTCTTTTCAGATATTTCCAGTGAGAATCTGGGATGCCGGATTTTGTCATATTCTCTAAGCTTCTGATTTTGTTGGAAGCACGTCATTTGAAGGAATTTCGCAAATCCCTTGAATTCTTGTGAACCAGATAGTTTGAAAAAATAACAGGGATTCCGTATGTTTTATATTTGGAGTTTGTAATTTGAAAGAATCTCGGAGACTCCTTTTGTGTGTGTTTTTTGAAGTAATTTGAAAGAATCTCGGGAACGCTTTTTGTTTTGTTCTTGAAATAGTTTGAAAAAAATCTCCGGCATCCCTTGTGTCTTGTTTTTGAAGTAGTAGTTTGAAAGAATCTGGATACCCTTTGGGCTTTGTTATAACTCGTTTGTTCTTGTCTAAGATGTTATTTCTTTGGGTTTTTCCTTTCCTCAAATTCTCTGCATCCACGTTTTTTCCTTTTGTTCTTTAATTAATTTCTTTACTAGTTCTGGATTCTTTATGTTTTTTTATGTCTCATCTGTTCTCTCCAATTTTCTTTCTTATCTTTTACACACTTAATTGTACCCCCGTTCAAAAGAAATACCAAGGGACCAACACATCCACGAAAACCAACAAAGAATATGCTAAACCGTTGCCACACTCCCCCTCCCCTCCTCTAGCGTAATTGACTATTAATGTATATTGAAATGTAAAATTTCGCAGATGTAAACACGTGGTGTTAATTTTTGTTTATTGTTTGTAAATTCACAGTTCATGTTAAGATTAATTGTTGTTCCTGGTTTTAAGGCAATTTGACAGTCATGAGATTGTTTATGTAAACTATGTGTTAATAATTCACTTATTCAAATTTCACTCTTTTGTTAACAAGTTGTGACTAGCTTCTGGATGTCTTTACAGTCTAGTGGGTTTTATCGTCTTACTTGTGTGGCCGCCTGGAAGTATGCAACCAGTAAACGCCACGGTGGAAACGTAAAACAGACTCCTCTTCTTCTCCGACCACTCACCGTGTGCAGACGTCCTCTCCTCTTCAAGACCTCCACGTGGACATACACATACAACCTTGGGCCGTGTTATCATTTTTGTAGTTGAACTACGGGTACGAACATCCCGACGTGATCGAAGAACTACGGGTACGAACATGCCGACTGCCGAAGAACTGCAACAGCAACTCGAAAAACAGCAAGAAGCCATCCGGAAGCTAGAGCACACTCCAGCCAGTCACAGACATCGTAGCGAACCCACCAGACAAAGAGAGGTACGACACAATTAAGAAGAAACTGATAGCCGCCTACACCGACTCACAGGAGAAGCAGCTACGAAAGCTGATAAACGAGATGAGCTAGGGGACCGACAACCATCCCAGTTATTCCGCGAAATGAAGGCACTCGCGGGGCAGCAGATGAATAGCGAAGTCATAAAAACGCTCTGGCTACAGCGACTTCCACCACATGTCCAACTCGTGCTGTCTGCGAGCGAGGGAGTACCGCTGGAAAAGATGGCAGAAATCGCGGACAAATTGGCGGAAATACACAGAAGCAACGCTATGGCTTCCAGTATCAACGCGATAGGCGCCACCAGCGACACGACGCGGCAGAACACCATCGTACCAACGCAGGAAACTAACCTCATTACGGTAATTGCAGACCTCCAGAAACAGATGGCGGCCTTATCGGTAGCCGTAACTCATCTAAGCAACACGAGAGGGCGCAGTCCACAAGCACGGCAAAATGACCGTCGAAATCGGTCAAGGACACACAGCAGGCAACGCACGGATCAAAATGGCGTTTGTTATTACCACGCGAAGTTCGGTGTAAACGCCCGAAAGTGTTTCAAACCCTGCACGTTTGTACAGCCGGAAAACTAGAGGCGCCGTCGGGTATCGAGGCGGTACACGACGACGCGCGCCATCATCGTCTCTTCGTCACGGATCCCAAATCCGGTATCAGGTACCTAGTTGATACCGGAGCAGAGGTCTCAGTCCTGCCGAAAACGTTTTCAGGTAAGGCTCAGTCACAGACACAAGATACACCCGCCCTATTTGCAGCGAACAACACACCCATCCGCACGTTCGGCCAGAAATTCATGGTGGTTGACTTGAAGCTACGCAGAACTTTTAAATGGGTTTTCATCCTCGCGGACGTCGAGAAACCAATAATAGGGGCCGATTTTCTCGAGTACTACCACCTCCTACCGGACCTGAGAAACCGGAAGCTGGTAGACCCCTTGACACATCTCTCTTCCCCTGGTTTCGTATTGGCCTGCTCCGTACCACGCATTACGACGGTGGCAAAAACCTCCAGCTACCACAACCTGCTGGCGGAATACCCGGAATTGACGAAAGCACCACGTCCGGGAAGTCAAATATCCAGCTCCGTAGTGCACCACATATACACAACAGGCCCTCCTGTAGCTGAAACACCACGCAGACTACCACCGGAGAAACTCAAGGCCGCCAAAGCTGAGATCCAGTACATGTTGGAGCAAGGGTGGTGTCGCCCCTCCAGCAGTCCATGGGCCAGCCCACTGCACCTCGTACAGAAGAAGAATCCTGGGGAATGGCGTCCTTGTGGGGATTATCGGAGGCTGAACGGGGTAACAATCCCAGACAGATACCCCATACCACACATCCAGGACTTCTCGGCCAGACTAGAGGGAAAAACGGTGTTCTCCACGATAGATTTGGTACGTGCTTACCACCAAATTCGAGTGGCCGACGAGGACATCCCAAAAACTGCAGTGTGTACGCCATTCGGTTTATTTGAGTTCACAGTGATGACTTTTGGCCTACGCAATGCCGCGCAAACTTTTCAAAGACACCTCAATAATGTGCTCAACGATTTAGACTTTTGTTTCGCATATATAGACGATATTTTAGTTTTTTCCGCGAACCCAGAGGAGCACGTGCGACATTTAAAAACGCTGTTTGAAAGACTGAAGCAACACCAAATCGTGGTTAATGCAGCAAAGTGCGTGTTCGGGGCAAGTGAAGTGGAGTACCTAGGATATAGCATTTCGACTCACGGGACCCGTCCAGCAACCGCGAAAGTGACGGCGATAAGTGATTTTCCTAAGCCGCAAACTGTGAAGGACTTGCGAAAGTTTCTCGGCATGATCAACTTTTATCGTCGCTTCGTCAAAAATGCCGCATCTATCCAAGCACCTCTACATGTGTATCTGCGAAATTCGAAAAAAAATGACAAGACGCCAATCAGCTGGACCAACGAGGCGGAAGAAGCATTCAGCCAGTGCAAGAGCGAGTTGTCCAATGCTGCGCTGCTAGCACACCCTTCCGAGAACGCCTCATTAAGATTGACCACCGATGCTTCGGATACAGCCATGGGGGCTGTGTTGGAGCAGGAGGTTAAAGGCGACTGGCAACCCCTGGGATTTTTCTCAAAAAAGTTGACCAACACCCAACGAAGGTACAGCACGTACGACCGCGAACTGCTCGCGATATACGAAGCCATCAAATTCTTTCGCTACATGGTAGAAGCGAGAGTCTTCACGGTTAGAACGGACCACAAGCCTTTGATTTACGTGTTCAAACAGAACTCAGAGAAAGCTTCCCCGAGGCAGCTACGCCAACTCGACTTCATCAGTCAGTTCACTACGGAGATAGAACACATACCGGGCGAAAACAACATGGTGGCGGACACATTATCCCGAATCAGCGAAGTTCACACGGCAGCGGTGATCGACCCAGACGAACTCGCCTCCGCCCAAGAACAAGACCTGGAGTTGAGAAACCTGCTGAACTCCAGTACCAGTTTGAAGCTACAGAATCTCACACCCATGAATTCGGATACGGCGATCTGGTGCGACACGGCCACAGGGAGAATTCGCCCCTACATACCCCTCCACTTACGAAAAAGGGTATTTGACATGGTACATTCCAAATCACACCCAGGCGGCAAAGCCACATTCAAGGCGGTACATAAAAGTTTCGTGTGGCCATACATGGAACGCAACATAAAAAAATGGGCGCGCGAATGCCTTCCTTGCCAGCGGTCAAAGGTGAGTAGGCACACTAGAACACCCCTAAAACATTTTGAACTTACAGAATGCCGATTCGAACATGTACACATGGACATCGTTGGGCCATTACCACCATCACAGGGACACCGGTACTGCCTCACGATGACAGACAGGTTCACCCGATGGCCAGAAGTAATTCCCATGACGGACATGACGGCGGAGACGGTGGCGAAAACCTTTTACGCAACCTGGGTTGCGCGGTTTGGTTGCCCCCACCGTATTACAACTGACCAAGGCCGGCAGTTCGAGGCCACACTGATGTCTGCCCTCACAGACCTTTTGGGCACTAAACGTTGCCGAACCACGCCATACCGACCACAGTGCAACGGGATGATCGAGAGGTGGCACAGAACGATCAAAGCCGCCATCATGTGCCACGAGACCAGTGACTGGTACGACATCCTCCCTACGGTGCTGTTAGGTTTAAGGACAACAATCAAGGACGACCTTCAGTGTTCCCCAGCCGAGCTGACTTACGGCACGCAACTACGAATCCCGGGGGAATTTTTCTTCGCAAACGACGAGCCAGAAGTCGACCCCAGCAATTTCGTCGACAAGTTGAGGCTCCACATGCGCAACGTCCGACCAAGACCAGCAACCCACCATGGCCACCACAAGACTTTTGTCCACCCAGAGCTGTCTGACTGTTCCCACATCTTCCTCAGAGATGACTCAGTCAGGAAGCCACTACAACCACCATACACCGGACCACACCACGTATTACGACGTACAGACAAGGTGATAGTGATAAGCAAGAATGGAAGAGAAACCACAGTGAGCCTGGACCGAGTAAAACCGGCTTTCATATCGGCAGAGTCCTGCACTCCGCCTCATGTACAGCCCCCAACGCAACAGGTCCCGACAACACCTGCGTCGACGAGCACCACTACAAGGTCAGGAAGAACAGCCAGGCCACCAGTGAAATTCCGCGACTACGAAACGTAGTCACTGGGAGGGGACTACTGTGGCCGCCTGGAAGTAGGCAACCAGTTATACATACATAATGCAGCCACCGGATTGGCAGTCACCACGCAAGCCCAAAGAGGAAACGCCACGGTGGAAACGTAAAACAGACTCTCTTCTTCTCCGACCACTCACCGTGTACAGACGTCCTCCTCTCTTCAAGACCTCCACGTGGACATACACATACAACCTTGGGCCTTGTTATCATTTTTGTAGTTGGTATTGTAAATAAACCTGTACTAAAACCGTTTCCGTTAGTAATTCGACGACAACAATTACACTTGTTTCAGAACAAGAAATCATTACGTCATCAACAAAAATATGCTTCTGTGATATTACCTCACCCCTGTAATATGTGTTGCCTAACAGCTAAATTCGCAACCACTCGATAGTCGATCTCAATACTAAGACAGGAAGGATAAATTCAAACAAAAAAGCAGCTTGGCATTTATTGAACACAAAAAACTCATCGAGGCCGGTCCCACACTCACTCCTGCTTACTCTTCCCGTTAATATTAAAAGCGATTTTACCATCCACAATTTGAGAATCTACATCGTCATACGTTTCAAACATAATCCCGTTTTCGTCTTTCTCCCTATTTTCGTCATTCAGCGACTGTTTCGTTTCATCGATACTTTTCCGCCGTTCCTTAATCTTCCTCTTCATCGCCACCATACCTGAAACTCCACTTCAGAAAAATAAACCCCACAAAAGTGATAACGCACATTTCAAAGTCTGAAACACCATATTTCTATTCTTTGGTCTTTTAGCCGCCATACCCCTACAAAGCCAAAGTTCATTAAAGCGTAAAAATAACAACAACATTACTTCTCTTGTCTTTCTTTCATTTCTTTTTGTAGACGTAAGAAAGTATAGGTTGCGTCACTCCTCGGCGGGAAAAGCGAGCACTCGAAGATGTCTTTGCCGCATTGTTCGGAAGCGGTGTGGTTCATCCAGTGACACAAAGCTTTGAAGCAAACCTTGAAGAGAAGTGTGAGACAATGGGAAAAAAGTGGGTGGAACGTACAGATGAGTAGGTTTCGAAAAGTAGCCACACGAGTAAAACTGAAAGCAAGATGGCGACGGACGTCGAGTTTCCTTTGATTAATGGATAGCCGAAGAGCACCGGAATCACGATTGCGTAGTTAACCACACTACAATTAACACGAATTTTAATAATAATACCGAGAAATCGGGATATTGTTGCTTACAAAACCAAAATACTGAGCGCGAAATTTCCGCCAATCACACGATCTCTGCTTTTACTCCGCTCCAATAAGGCCGTGCAACGTGTCAACTCTAGCATAATATGAGTCACACAAATCACGATATTCAACCTAAAGCTTCCTTCCACAAATCTAGAAAGCATGGTTGAATTTAAACCCCACAACAACACACATTTACCTGAAGAAATACGAAAAACACAAAAATAAAAACAAACTTAAGTAACTCAAAAAGAGCGTCGCGTCTTCGTACTTAACCCCCTCCCAGAAGGCGCTGTGTAAATAAAACGTCAACATCATAATAAATCCTAAAATTAAATGACCAGAAGGTAAATTTGTACTATCGAAGGGTTCCTTCATTTTGATTATTTGCAGCTGGTTTCGGAACAACGTCGCGAGACAGTAAATACAGGCCGTTACGTAAAAACCTAGGTACCACAGGGACTTTTGTAGGCGAGTACGGACGTACTTTTGACACTTCATTTTTCGAAGCAAACCCTGGAACAACTTAGTTTAATAAAATCACTATTTATGCGGACACATACGTTGAGCACTGAGTCGAAAATGGCGTGCAGAAGAAACCACCCCAGAAACATCCAAGTGGCTCCATTACATAGAGTATTATTGTAGTAATTTCCTATATACTTATCCAAAAGCCCCGGTATAAACGTGACTTCAGTTTTGAGAAAAAAACCAAAGAAGGATTGCATTAGGGTCAAATTGGTGATCGAAGGGAGCGACATTGCACTTGGATTACGTTGTTCTGAAAAAAAATTGCACACAAAAAATTTAACTGTCGACTAAAATAAGAATGACATACTTTTAGGTGCGATGTATGAAAGACGCACATGTGATTACTGGAAGACTGATTTGAGGCATTTTTTCGGTTGGTTTATGTTGTGTGCTTGTCTCTATGGGTTAAATATTTACGTAAATGGGGAACTTCTTGTGGGGGCTCGATTTTTTTGGTGACATCGCAGGACACTGTACCTGTCAATCTGCGGTTCGGTGTGTTTCTCATAGGTGGCGTGCAAGTCACTAAATTTAATATAACTGGGAGTTATGCAACCACGCATTCATTTGATTTAATCTACTATAGTAATTTTTTGTGTTCCAAAAAATTGATAACGTCGTCTAAAATTATTTCATTTAGAAAACGAAAGCTTAATTAAGCTGTTATAATAAAACTCGTAGAATCTATAGTATTCTTCGTCCTTTTATTTCAAACGGATTAAAGGGAATTGGGTTCCTTTACGCCCGAACAAGTGTGTTCAAATTCTGATTGTCTGTCCAAAATTAATTTTGTTGAGAGTAATTGGATAGCGCTACAACTCCAACTCCAAGCGGGTGGATCAGAGTACGCAAGTTTTTTCGGTACACTTTATTAATCTAAAAAAATCTTCACTTCTGCCGGAATTTTAATGCGTTAAATTACGATGAAATTGAATTCATTTACTTTCCGGGCACCAACTGAATTTTTCCCCACTTAACATATTGCTCTCCGGAAAATTTCCGCATGTGTGAGCTTGCTGGTAAACAGTCCGTCGAAAAAATTACAAGTACAGTTAGCGCTTATTTTTATAATTTGTTATTGTGGCTATCACGTCCAGATTATGTAGTTTCGTTCGAAACAAACAGCGAAATAAAAATCAGAATTGCCGTCAGTCTCGTAAAAGTTTATTGTCGTTGAGAAAGTTTCATCAGAGGATAATACAGTGATGGCAAGGATACTAAGAGAAGCTGAAATAATTCGGTATGCTTATGTCTGAACGAAATTATTTCTTATTCCGAGGAAATTTCCGGCGCGTTTGGAGCACGAGCATGTGTTCCTGCGACCTAGTTGTCGTTAAATTTTGAAATATTTCGTGTCGTTTAGATATAAAGTGAATAGCAAGGGTTCGAAAATTGCACCTTGTTGAATAAAAATATCTACCAAAATTGGACAGAGAGTAAAATAATAAACAAACTTTCAAACGACTTTTTTTAGTTTAAAATAAATTTCCCTCTAGAAGCATTAATTATAGAAAAATAAAGGGCGAATAAAATTACCAGTTTAAAACACGTTCGTTTCTCGTTAAAGTGGAAAATGTTAATTTAATCCATCTGCTTTAATTATTCACACCAACAGATCTACGTTTTTCTATATACAGATAAAGCCATGAATGAAACAAGTAATTTTCAAGTTCAACTGTAGTTCCAGTATAGTTTAAAACGACACAAGTGGAGTATGGTGGATGCGCCGGGATAGCACGTAGATTTTCGTCCAAATAAACTACCACAAGTCGCCACTTCGCCACGTACCAGCACGTAACACCCCTCACTCGATCCCAGTCAAGGTAGCAAATCCCAATTATGGGACTTTCGTCTATTTAGACGCACGACGAAAACATTTGTTTGTCTTCTAGGAGGTCGAGCGTGCGCCCGTTTATGAGTTAGATGGGTTTCGACCACAAGTGAGAGCGTCGCGACGCCTACTTCAGTTTGCCGGTGAACGCGAGCTCGATCACTGTCCCAGTGTTCGAGGTGTACGTTTTTACGTGTAAACACGTACAAATCTCTGTGTTTACTCGAGGATTACCACACTTGTGTGAATAATTTGATTCACATTGTAAGTGTTTCAGACCGCATTGTTCACATAATGTCGCTAATTTCGTAGTGGCGCCAGATTCTGATTTTTGTAGAAAAAAAATTATATGTAGGTGGTGTCATTAGAATTCCGCGGTGAGGTAAATGTGATTGGAGGTGGATGAACGCGGTTTAATAAAATATGAGAGACACGATTTGGGATTTATTGTTTGTTGATTGTGGACTTGTGGAGGTTAACCATTTTGTAATAATTAGTACTAAGTTTACTGAAAGCAATTAACTTTTGCATATAAGGTGCAATTCAGCACCCTCGCTAGATTAAAGTCGTGACATTCTCGTTGTCTTTTTGTGTAGAAAGACATTTCAGAGTGTTCTTGAGTGTTAAAGGTTAAATGCTTTAAAATGTCGGGACAAACTTTGAAGCAAAGTGGATTTACATTGACTATTCATTCCATATTTAATTATCCAGACTTCGCAGTTAGTACGGTTTATGCGAAACTGTCTTGTTGAAATACCGGCTAAGTGTATTACTGGTTGCTTTTTAAAAGTGACAACTGATAAATGTCGGCTATGTTTTTATCGACAATAAAAGCAATGTGTTCTCTAATCTGTCCAGCGTTCCATTTTTGCATCCGACCTGGGTTATTATTTGGCTCTATAAAGTTCCAAGCGGTTTAAAATGTCGCAGAAAATTTTTACCCATTTTTATCTTCAGCGACATAATGTTCGATACAAAACACGTAGACGACAATTTGTATGTTTGTGTTTCGAATATTTCAATATTTTAATAAACATCTGTCTGTTAAATTTACAAACAAATTTTGTTTTGACGTTTTCATATTACATAGCACAAATTCAATAAAAATAAAACACGTTTTTTGCTGATGTGTTTCTGCTTCATTATGAAACGAATCGCTCGCTAATTTAAAAATAAAAATACATTAATGTTGTTGTTTTAAATTGTAACAGGGAAATTGCGATCCATTAGCAATGTTCCCTAATTTTATTCCGAAATGTTGCGCCCCCGGCCGTAGTTAATTAGGTAGATGAAATGTATACTTTGTTTATAATTTTTTTCAAAAATGTTTCGTTATTAACTTGCCGGCAATTAAACACGGAGCCAAATTATTTATTAACAATTAATTATGTGTGCGGTCCTTAAGTTCACTTTGTTGAGATAATAAAGAGTTCAGCGAAATGTTTCATTAAGAGCTGAAATTTTGCTGGGTTGGAATTAGAGGTTAACCGATGTGGTTGGTGCTTTACAAGCGACAGTTTATTAGCGGTGCCCACTTCCTCCAATGCACTGAATTACTATTTTGCAACTATTACCAAACAAGGAAACGCAACCCGGAAGTAAATTTCTGGAATAAATTGCTGCAGCTTTCTACACCCACACGAGATTAAAGCCCGACGATTTTTTGTTTTCGCAGTGATTTCACTCTGTATATTTTATGCGCAACTTCCAACATTAAGTAAAATTGTTCTGCAAGAACGTTGTTGTACAATTGTGCAACAGAATAATTTATGTTTTAAGTTTTAACCAACTCTTAGTATAAGAGAAATGTTGACAAGACGGCAAATTTTGTGATGTTTAAAGACAACGAAAGTAATATGTTTTCAGATGGTATGCATTATTGCTATATGCCATTTCTGTATCCGACTTCAGTTATTATTGGCCTCTATAAAGTTTGCTTCCATGAGCTTTAAAACATTCGAGGAAATTTATGTCTTCACTCAGCTTTTACGACAGAATATTTAATACGATATAAGTAGAAGACATTTTTTTTTGCCCAAATTTGCATAAAAAATGAAAACATTATTTATGAATGAGGGAATAATAAACTTGCTGTTGACGTTGAAGTTCCCGTTGCATTTGCTGCTACCGCTGACGTTACCTATTTAAAAGGGTTGTAGAAGAAAAGTGGACATCTTAGATATGTTTTAAGTTTCTTGTTGTCGAAATAAGTGTACACATCTTAAAAAACAGGGAAAATGTAGCCCCGCCCACCCACCCTATCTCAATTGTGATGATTTTTTGTATTCGGCGTGAGCCAAGAGGGCGGAGCTTAACAGCAAAATACTTATTTCTCTACGAGAAATTAGAAACATGTTTTTGAGGATCGTGTTGTTCAAAGAATACTATGCCATATTAAGACAAAAATAAACCCGATCTCAATTCTCAATTGTGACGAGTTTTTCATTCGCTGTGAGATTAAGGAGTGGGGCTTAATTGCAAGATCCATATTTGTTTACAAGAATTTACCATTTTAAACATGTTTTAAGTTTCTTGTTCTGAAAAGACGGCAAAATATAAGCCCCGCCCACCCGCCCTATCTCAATTCTGATGATTTTTTTTAGTCGTCGAGAGTCAAAGCAGCGGAATTTAATTGCAAAGTATTTATTATTTCTCTAGAAGAAATTACTATGTAAGACATATTTTTGAGTATCGTGTTATTCAAAGAATACTCTGTACATTAAGAAAAAATTAAATCCAAAATCCATATTTCCTTACACAAATTTAGCATGTTTTAAGTCTGTAAGAATAAAAAAAATCACCACAATTGAGACGGGGTGGGTGGGCGGGCTGTATATTTTGCCTTTTTTTCTTAATATACATAGAATTCTTTGAATAACACGATACACAAATACATGTTTTTAATTCCTTTTAAAGAAATATGTATTTGCAGTTAAGCTCCACCCCCTTAATTCAAAGCGAATAAAAAAAGATCTTCGCAATTGAGATAGGGCGGGTGGGCGGGCTTACATTTTGTCTTTTTGTTTTAATATGTGTGCACTTTTTTCACAATATGAAACTTAAAACATGTTTAAAATGGAAAATTTGTATGAAGTGATTTATCATTTTAAGCATGTTTTAAATTTTTTGTGGGAAAAGATGGCTACCTATATTAAGAAAAAAAAGCAAAATATAAGCCCCGCTCACCCGTCCTATCTCAATTCTGACGATTTTTTTTATTCGTCGTAAGCCGAGGGGCGGTGCTTAATTGTAAAATCCTTGTTTTTCTACGAGAAATTGCCGTGTGAAATGTGTTCTTAAGAAATCGTGTTATACAAAGGAAACTAAATGTATTAATTAAAAAAGAAAACCAAAGGAGAAGCCCCACCCATCCATTTCGATCTCACTCGGGATGAATTTTTCATTCGTTGATAGGCCGGGGGGCGGAGCGTAATTTCAAAATCGATATTTTCCTTTACAAATTTGCCATTTTAAACATATTTTAAGTTTCTTGTTGCGGAAAGATGATTACACATGTTAAGAAAACGAAGCGAAATATAAGCCCCGCCCACCCGCCCTATCTCATTTGTGATGATTTTTTTTTAATCGTCGTGAGCCAAGGGGGCGGAGCTTAACTGCAGAATCCTTATTTTTCTACAAGATATTAGAAACATGTTTTTGAGTATCGTGTTATTCAAAGAATACTATGTATATTAAGACAAAAATAAAGACAAATATTAGGCCCCACCCATACCCGCCTCGATCTCAATTCTCAATTGTGATGAATTTTTCATTCGTTGTCAGATCGAGGGGCGGTGCTTAATTGCAAATAGAAAATTTGCAAAATCTGATAACTGAAACATCCAAAAATTGGAAAATCAAAAAACTGAAAAAATGAAAAATGAAAAATTGAAAAATTGCAAATCGAAAAATTGAAAAATCCAAAAAGAGAGAAAATAAAAATTGAAAACTGGAGAAATTCTTTCTTCAGAGCCAATAAGAATGAATGATGAAAACGGAATAAGGATGGGTGGGAGGGGCTTCTTTTTACTTTGTTTTAAATCAGATTCTATCGCTTGTTAATCGAATTCAATTCACATTTTACAGTAATTAAAATAAGTCAGTGAAATGGAGACAAGAGGTGGGCGGAGCTGAGTTTAGTTTTTTCTAAAGAGTTTTATAAACAAGCAGTAGCCCCGCCCACCGACCCCCTCTTTATTCCAGTGACTACTCTTAATATCATTCAGCCTTATCTTGACAAGTATTAGCCCCGCCCACCCACCCTCTATTTTATTAGAGGATATGTGATTTGCTAAAATTAGTCTTCAGAAAAATTGGAAAATTAAAAAATGAAAACTCGAACCATTTTTGATTTTCCAGTTTTCGATTTTCCAATTTTTGGATGTTTCAGTTTTTAATTTCTTTTGGTTCTTTCAATGTTTCGTTTTTTCACTTCTTTTCGATTTCCAATTTTTTTGTCAGTACTTGCTAAGATAAGACTCACTTTAGCAGATAACGTACCCTTTAAGAAAATAGAGGGTGGAGACAAGAGGTGGGCGGAGCTGAGTTTAGGTTTTTCTAAAGAGTTTTATACGCAAGGATTAACTCCGCCCACCGACTGCCTCTTTATTCCAACGACTACTCTTAATATTATTCAATCTTATCTTGACAAGTACTAGCCCCGCCCACCCACCTTCTATTTTCTTAGAGGATATGTGATTTGCTAAAATTAGTCTTCAGAAAAACTTGGAAAATTAAAAAATGAAAACTCGAAACATTTTTGATTTTTCAGTTTTCGATTTTCCAATTTTTGGATGTTTCAGTTTTTAGATTTAGCAATTTTACTATTTGCAATTTCTATAGTTTTCAATTTTTAATTTCTTTTGGTTCTTTCAATGTTTCGTTTTTTCACTTCTTTTCGATTTTCAATTTTTTTTTTGTCAGTACTTGCCAAGATAAGACTGACTTTTGCAGATAATGTACCCTTTAAGAAAATATAGGGTGGGTGGGCGGGGCTAGTACTTGTTAAGATAAAACTGATTTTGGCAAATCACATACCCTCTAAGTAAATAGAGTCGCATTTCTAAGAAATGAGAAAACAAAAAACAGATGAAAACTTGCAAATCAAAAAATTGAAGAAACGAAAAATTAAAAAAATTAAAAATTGAAAAGTCGAGAAAGTGCAAATAGAAAAGCTCCAAAATCTGATAACTGAAACATCCAAAAATTGGAAAATCGAAAAACTGAACATTTTAAAAATAAAAAATTGAAAAATTGCAAATCGA